GTTTGAGTGTCTTTGAGTGCATTTGACTGTCTGCAGTGCCTTTGAGTTTCTTTGAGTGCCTTTGAGTGTCTTGAACGCCGTTGCACTCGCAGGCACTCAAACGAACCCAAAGGCACTCAAATGCTACTTACACGTAATTGAATTATTCCTGACGCTATTATTTGATATTTCATGATTTATTCAGCTTTATTGAATGTTGTTGGGCTGACTCCCAATTACACGTACCTGGTCTCCAGAGGCACCTCGCTGCAGGTGGATCTCCCGCATACAGTGCTTCCGACCATCGCCCTTGAAGCCGTAGTCGAGTCCCGGTACTGCTATCTGTGACTGCACCACGGATTTCGTGGCGACTACTCGACCACGAGCTCGCCTGGAACAAATCCAGATAGGTTTAGCCGTCACAAGGTCCGTTAATAAGGCTAATAACGTTATTTAATCATAACATACATCAGTACAAATAATATTTCTCCAATTATTTATAATATTACTTCAATTATACGCAGAACAAATCCTTACCTTAATAAAATTAAGTTTGCATGTGATATCTGTCCCGTGGCAAGTGATGTGCATGTCGCCATACTGATCCACCCATCGTTGTCCACCGAAAAGATTATGCACGCATGTTGTCACCTGCATAAATTAATATGACATCACAACCTGGTCCCTAACTACAGAATTCATGATCCTATGAGATATAAACTGAATTTATTATGAAGGCATAGCCCAGAATACTCAAAATCAATTTGTTGACAAAAGTTATTGTTTATGATGTTAGTAATATCTGTAGCTCTAGTGGGGTACAAGTAAAAAGCCAACTTTAGAAGGAGACTCGAAACACAGTTAAAGCCTAAATGGTATTAAGCGTTAAGTATTTTCGTCGCGTTTCCTTGTAAAGTTAGCTATTTTTACTTGTATCCCTTTTCACTAGAGCCACAGAATTCGACGCCTCCTACGCAAAGTATAGTAAGTCAAAATTGCCAAGTTTACAAGGGAGCGTTTTAAAGTTTTGAATTCACTGAAATTACGTTAGAGGGGTCGATGTAGTCATGTAAGTTTGTTAGTATTTTACAAATATGTAACCCTATAAATATACTTCATTAAATTGAGCGCGTCTATCAGTCCCTTATTAAATGCGGAGTTACTTTATGACCCAATTTCTTCAACACCTTCTTCTACGCAATCGAACATGAATAAAAATTAAATTAGTTGCTCACAAGAATCAAATAAAGTGTATGATAGTTAAATTACCTTATTCCAGCTGTAATGATCGCCAGTGTTTAACAGGCGTACATGCACCCGCCCAGTGGGCTGGAACTCCATGGATTTGCCCCAGAACTTGGTTTTGATGCGAGCTTCTTGCCAGAAGATCCAACGGGGGGATTCTGCGTGGCAGGCTGAGATTGGGGGGTGGTGGGAAACCTGTGATTGAAACAAAATATATGCATAACATGCCGGTTGCATGGAGAAAATGAAGGACAGTGAAGTATTGAAAGGTTTTCCCAATTTGCCTTGAAGCTTCAAAGGTTTTCCCAATTTGCAATGAATCTGATGTATCAAAATTTTTTCAATTAAAGTAGACATGCGTACAAATCTCAAATCAAATCTGTGTCATTTGTAACGACGGAAAAACGCATTTTGTTTTATAACGAACGAAGTCGTGCGAATGATGGTAAGCTACACGCTTGTCCATAACAGTTGCAGCGCCACTCAGAGCTTCCAGTCGCAAAGATCTGAGGCGCACTACCAGTGCGCCTGTTACCCTGAGACACACGTAGACAAGTCCCATGTGCCTGTAATTTCAACAGCACCTTTATTTACCCTTCAAAATCGGAACTGGCGGCAGAAATAGGTAAGGTGGCAGTACTTCCCTGGACAAACCTTTCGCGAGAAACGGTACCGCCACTAAAACCAGAGTGATACAAAGAACAGTTAGGTTAGGTTAGGTTCGGGCGCTGACCTGCTCGGCGACGAAGCGGAAGCCGCGGTCGTCGCGCACGCACTCGTAGGTCTCGGCGAGCAAAGGGTTGAAGGGCTTGGAGGCGGCGCGGTGCGCGGACGCGGCGTAGGCGCTGACGGCGAAGGCGGCCACCAGCGCCATGCGCTCCACGGCGCTGCGGCACTCGGCCGCCGCGTCCAGCAGCTCCGAGTACTCCAGCTCCTCGCACAGCCGCTGCAACCAACCTCACATTGGCCGGGGCCGTTCGGCCTGACCCCGGACGAAGCCGAACCGTTGGTGGAAGCTATTTATAGTGTCTTTTTTAAGATGGAGTAAAATGACTTGCAAGGTCGCCAGTTTTGATAAAATTTTAATTAGTCATGTAGTTGTTGGCGATAGCTTTATCTATATATATATATATAGAAGGTAAAATTTTGCCAAAAAATTCCGAATGGTGAATGTTACGACGTTCTAATGATTACTAACTGCGTTCGTTACTGCCTTCTTCATTTTAATATACAGTTCGCCAACTAGTATAGAAATAAATTTAATATACATGAACATGAAAGGATATATTATGGAGAGTGTGCCATGGGATTACACGATTTAATTCCGCGTTCCCATCACCGAGAGACTAGGCGTAGGCTTGGGTTCCACCCCTATGTTGTGGATATTTCAAAGATGCGCATGAAGCGTTACGCTTCCACATTTATATGACGAACGGGTTGTTCCCTGAACGTTATGACTTGGACCTTCTCAAGGCGAGAGAGAATAGGCATTACTTAGGTGTGTATGCACCATCGTCGACCTCATCGTCACTTTCCATCAGGTGAGATGGTCAAATGCGCACTTAACATTTTATAAAAAAAAAGAACTCACAAAAATGAACAATTCAAACGAACCTATTTCCTAGCAGTTGGACGAATAATGGGCTGATGATGGTTTAAGCGAAACAGGTTCGGTTATTTATTGTATAAGCGAGACCAACATTCAGTCGATAGTCGATGGAATATTTATCGATAGCAATCACTAGGTGCCACTTATTTAAGCGCAATAAACTATCATTTTACTCCATCTTCAAAAAAGACAGACTGTAATTGCTATTTTTTTTGTAAAAATTTCCGGGTGTATTCTAGTACCAGCGCCCCCTACCCGCCAGCTTGTAGTGTGCACGTATCTCGCGAGACGACCGCGCGTAATATTTTTAACTGTGTATCTTCTTGTAATTTTCAAGAGTTATTATTAAACTGTGTGCCTTTTTACGGAATAGTATTATAGAAAAGGTATCCCAGAAGCCTACAACGCATGTACACATCAGGGATATTTGTATATTTGTCAACACTCATCCACAATACTTCAAACGTGGTGAAGTCATTCAAAGGCAAACTAGAGCTAAAATTATGATTCTTTTATATAATCGTTGCTATAAAATATTTATAAGAATGACTACTGCAGCATGTGTATAATTATTTTAACTGCCTCCGTGGCCGAACGGTTACCATGCCGGACTGCCACGCAGAGGTCCCAGGTTCGATTCCCGGGCCGGGAGAAATGTTTGTATAGCCTACATTTACTTCTCTCGTGAGTTTGGGTGTAATTTGTGGTTGTCTATGTGTGTGTCCATGGCACCTGCGACACAGGGTTTCCCTAGTGCGGGGCTATGTTGAGTGTGTGCGTTATTTATTTATTTATTTATTTTCAATCAATTATCAAATAAAATAAAATTGTTACTAGGACAGAATCTTTAGTTTCAATGTTAACAAAGAATATTTAGAATTTACACTAATTTAAAATACAATTAATCATATAGTCAAAACATGAAATGTAATGAACATTTGCACATCTGCTTGCATGTTGAATACAATGCACGTAATTTTGTTTAATACCTGTGTAACTATTACAATCTGGCAAGTAGATAGATAGATAACTCGTTTATTGGCTGAATCACAGTACATTACAAACAAGTTTATGCCATAAGTACAATGGTAATGATAAAGAAAAAGACTAGTCTAGGTTTGCGGGTGTGATCTGGAGTGTTATAACGTGTAGAGTGTAGTGTGTCAGTAAAAAGGGCCTGACTCAGCATTATGAACCAGTTCAGTCGAACTACGTCTGTAATTTTTCTACTAGATCCCAAGGTGAGCCGATATAAAAAAGTATTATATTGTATTAAAAAATTGAAAAGCGGAGTTATCTTTCCCCCATTCCCGCATCCCGTAGGATTGCAGGTTGAGTTGGACGTCGTGGAAGGTGTCGATGGTGGTGTCTCACCTGAAGCATGTTGAGGGGCTCGTTAATGGTGACCGGCATGGAGATCTGGCTGAGGTCCTTTCCGATGTTCTTGTAGAGCAGGTTCCACAGCGAGGGCCCCCCCGGCGTGGGCCGCGGCGAGGGCAGCGCCGTGCGCCGCGTCCAGCACGACGCGGGCCGCGACTCCACGCCGTTCTGCGTCAGCGTCACTGGCTCCGCCGATAGCACTGCGGTAGAAGGTCCAACGGTCATTATGAGGATCCTTGAAGATCCCAACGCAAAAATAGTAAGGCTCAAACTCTAATTCAAAATATTTTTATTACATAGGCATGTAAATTACACTTGAAAAGAACTCTATTACTCATTCGTAAAGCAGGTTCGCCTGAGAAGAATGAGCACGAAACTCTTGGGGTTGCCCTTTGTAAACAAACATGTGTACACATTTATCAACCAATAATTGTTTTAAATACGATAGATCGAGACAACCTGAAATGTCAGAAATATTGATTCACAATCTACTCTACTCTACCGGTTCAGTTTTGACTGAGAGAATATGATAAAAAGGAATAATTCAGCTTGGTCGCATGTTGTTGTGTCAACTGCCTCGATTAAGGTGTTTTTCAGGTGTTTGTATGACAAAATTTCAATTCTTTCCTAGCCCATCTTCAAAAGGTCTAGATTGACGAGAATGGGCGAGGCGAGAACAGAAATATTTGTTGATGTAATACTGAACCGTATTTGTGCCAACATAGAGTATTATATATACTTTTTAAAGGAAACACGATTTTCTCGCGATGGCTCACGCAAGCTATTAATGGTAAATAAACAGGCCGACGACATTTCAATTCTCGTCTCTTCTCGTCTCGCCTCGCCGCTAGAAAATCACATTTAAGCGCACCTTTTCACTTTTTCCGGTTTTTACAAAAGTCTTTGGAATGGACACGATTTTGAAAATGAAGGGACCATTAAACGACACTTAGAGCTAGCTGTATAAGTTTATATTGAATGTCACGATGTCTCACCGGGATATTCATTATTATATATTCATTATATTTATATATTCATTTTTGTGAAGTTACTCCTAATAATTAGATTGTTATAAATTATTAACACAAACATCGAACACTAAGAAAAAATCTCTTTGATCCGTTTGGATTCGAACGAGCATCTTCCAGCAAACCGTGCTAGACCCTAAGCCACGAGACGAATCAACAGACCTTAAGAATTTCTCTATGTGCTTGTTACAGATCTTTTTTGTTTTTAGTAGTCATAAGTTAAATTATAAATAAGGAAACTCACAAGCGCCATCGGAGTTGTCAGAGCTGGCGGAGCCTTCCTCGCTGCTCAGAGACCCCGCTTCCGACGAGGAGTCGCCATCTAACTCTATTACGCCCGCCTAAAAACACGACCGAAATTGTTATAAATATGATACATTATTATTTGATGATGATTTTTAAAAAAACGAATTTTTGGAGCAAAAATTTTTGTATTTACCAAAAGAAGACATCTCGATACCTCCAATTGCCGTTATACAGGACAAACAATTATTTCACAAAAATAAAAATACTATGACACATATGAAATTGAAATTTCAATAAATATTTCTTACAAATACATAGTCATCCAAGTTAATTTGTAACAGATGATTCCACATATTTGTATTTTACCGAAGCCATGTTAATATTTGCATTTTACATAAGCAATTAGGTAACGTTCTCATATCCGTAGGCAAAAATTTTCTGTAAAAATTTGAGATAAGTGGTTTTCGCAGTATAACGACGCAATGTTTTGTTATTTTTGTAAACATCCATATAAATTCAATATAGTCCATTTGTTTAGATACTTAACTAAATGTAAACAAACTTGGAGCACCATTTTATTGAAACATATACTTTACAAATCAATAGGTATAAAAATAGGCATGCAATTTCATATGAAGCTCAATATTTCTTTTGTATATGAAAGTAAGTAAAAATCATTTTATAAATGTACATTTCATTAAATAGACATCAAGATTGTTTACATTTAGTTAAGTACCTAAACAAATGGACTATAATATTATGCTCCCCAAATTTTGTGAAAAAAAATAAACAAACAAAAAACAAAATCAAAAAAGAAACTAATTATGAAAAAAAGAAACAAAAACAAAATTAAAAATGAACAGGTCCAAAAAGTAAGTTGCCTTAGTATTCATTGGAGGTATCGATCTGTGGGTGAAAGATTAAGAACCTGAAATGCCAAACAGAAATTTTTACAATAGAGTGTTTTACAGAGAACTAGGCTCTTAATTACGCACTTAAAATCAATCTTCAAATAAACAACGTTAAATAAATAACAAACGATGATAGGACTTAGTGTCTTTTACCATTCAATTTCAGCATTCGAAAGAAATTATTGTAAAAACATAAATTCCATAATATGGCCATGAGGTCATTTACCTCTCACCTAGAGATATTATTCCATGTAGACGAAATCTGACAAAAATATAACGAGTAATCATGGACAAATAACTCAGGAACACTGCTAATCGCCACACAAGACACCGAACCCGGACGTTTAGTACCCATTGGTCTACCAGATGTCGCGACGAGTATCAAATTATTTCTTTTACACTGACGAGCTACAATTTATCAAAGTTACTCTAATTTCTAGTGATAACAAACAAATCTACTAGATGGCGCTTATTGCACAGATTTTTACGGCTACTGCCGGCTATTCTTTTATGTTGTTTAGGGTTAGCGCCATCTACCCATATTATGTCTGATCACTTCACAGTGCAACACAGAGTGAGAAGCTGGAAAAGTTTTGTGAAATGTGATACCATCTACGTTTGTCCCGCCTTCTGAGAGTCTTCCTCCTGGACACGAATTGCCATGGCCGAACTGGACGTCTTTGAATAGGCTTCGAACTCAGGACGGTTGGAGCAAGGACAATTTGTTCAAGTGGGGATTTTCGGATGGTTCTAACCTGGACTGCTTGTGCGGTGCGACTCAAACAATGGCCCACTTCATATCGTGCCCTGCTTGCCCTAACACCTGCACGCTTGAGGATTTAGTGGCGGCTACTAGTTACGCGATCGGCGTGGCTGAGTTCTGGGCCACAATAGTGTTACGTATGTCATCGACACCACAATAAGAAGAAGTGAGCATTTATAAATTAGTTTATAACACACAATGTCATGTATTGATACGCATAGGTATTTGTCAAAGTTCAGAAAATTATTTTAGCTCATTAACCATATTTGAAAAGTATCACAAGGAAAAACTACTTGTATTTCATACTCGTATTATACTTAGTCCAACCATTTATTTAACTTTTGACATACACATGCCTCCGAAGTTCCGTAATTAATATAACATACAACCAGAGACAAAAAATGCAATACTTCCTGGACTTTTTAATTTTAGTGAAGCGACGTGCTCTTTCGCTCCGATATTTATCGAGCTAACAAATTATGTAACAAAAAATTATTCAAGTTATATATAGTACAAGTAATATATTTTGATACCAGTCTAATCAATTATAATGAAGCGAAATAAATTATAAACAAATATAATAATGTTTTATTGTTTATTATAATCAATCGTCGGATTCTTCTCCATATGAACGGGAATCATCGCTTGAATCCTCATTAACATCACGTTCCCAATCAGACAATATCTTCTTTTTTGAATCGTTTTTAACTTATTCGTGAATAAAATCGATTGTTATAAAAAAAATCGAATCGGAAACGCATTACGACATCACTAATGGATTAGGATTCGAGCTGTCAAACGTTAAAAAATATTTGGAGAAATTAATTAATATCCATTGCCATTTACATGATAAAAACCACTTCCAGGCTATCGATCAGCGCAATCTAGATATAAGACGGTAGTGTGAATTTTTTCGGAGTTACGATATGGTGATTAGCAATTCTCTTCAGTTATCGGTTCATGCAGAAATTGAAATACACACACAGATCTAGACACATATATCCTCCTACATAAAGTATCGTACGTCGAAATTGCCAAGTTTACAGGGGAGCGTTTTAAAGTTTTGAATTCACTAAAATAAGCATGACACGTGACTTTAGCATTTCACGATATATTGTTGTTGTTCATCTAACCGATATCTAGGATTTTATAATACTCTATGTGAGTAACGAGCTTTGCCAAATAAAACTGACAAATGCTAAAGTCACGTGTTATGCCCTTTTCAGTGAATTCCAAACTATAAAAGCTCCCCTGTAAACTTGGCAATTTCGACATACGATACTTTACGTAGGAGGGGTCGATATATTCCCAAAGTTTGGACTATACAAGGGCCATCGTTGTAGAGTATTTTTGACGTAAACATACATATATTGCCACACACAAACACTGCATATATACACAAACAAAAGATACATATAGACATTGCAAATTTCCACAACCAAATCCTAAGGCGTCTGTGCTACGTTGTCAATGTTCATGTAATTATGTATTTTTTTTTGTAAGTTACGCCGTTACTCCGAGATTTTGAAATCGATTTCTATGTATATATTTTGTTGGAAAGAGGGGTACCTCAGTAATGGTTACAAATTTGAAGTAAATATTTCGCCTCTGAGTCTGGCAATTGCGGAAAGAATCCGATTTATTACACTTTACTCACATTGCGTTAACCGATTTCTTAACCCTTTGACCGCCGTAAACGCTTTTAAGCGTCTCACATTAACTTGGCTGATACGTATATGACGCCTTAAAGTGTCAATGACACCCATATCTCAATTGAAATAAATATTAAGATATTCCTTGTTTTATTTGTATATTCTAGTTAAGTATGGATTTATGTTTGCATTTTATATTTTTTCTAATAATAAGAAGTGACGGGACGAACAAGTCGTGCGCCTGATGGTAAGGCTACACGCCTGTCCATTACCGTTGGAGTGCTACTCCGTGCTTTAAATCGCAAAGATCTGAGGCCCACTGCGCCCATAACCCTGAGACATAAGTTGACAAGTCCCATGTGTCTGTAACTTCACCCGCACCTTTACCCTTCCAAACCGGAATGCAGTAATGCTCGCATTACTGTTTGTGGGCAGAAATAGGTACCCGGCTTTGTTGCCTCAAAGGTCAAAGGTTCGAATCCCTGCCGTGGTATACGTTATTTTATGATATCAATTGACGGGATGAACAACTGTCCATAACAGTTGTAGTGTCACTCAGAGCTTTAAACCACAAAGATCTAAGGGGCACTGCCACTGCGCCCATCACCCTGAGACATAAGTTGACCAGTCCCATGTGCCTGTAATTTCACCAGCACCCTTACCCTTCCAAACTGGAACGCATTACTGCTTGGCGGCAGAAATAGGTAAGGTGGCAGTACTTCCCTGGACGAACCTTTCGCAAGAAGCGGTATTGCCACTAAATGTTCAGTTATGTTCGTTTTTGACTTAAGAGAATTGAATTAATAGAAGATGGATATTCATAACATGTCATATCACTGTATGGGCGCGTAATGGGCGTGTCAGAGGCGCGATGGCGGTCAAAAGGTTAATTCTACAAACTTTTCAACAACTATTATATTTTAATTCTACAAACATTTGAGGTTAATTTTTTTCTAAAACATTATAATGATTAACTTCCTGAATAAGGTGAAAGTTTCAAAGTTCATAGGTTTAACAACAATTTTTCTATAACAAACCTCATCTCCGGCTAGTATGTCGGCTTGTTTTAAATCGTTGTCGTGTTCTTCCGCGTCGAAAAACTCTGACGCCGACACGCATGAAGAGCTATAGCTCAGCGATTGCTGGAGATGTCTGTTCACCTGCAGGGCATCGTATGTCGATGGTTTAAATTGACGAAAGGGAAATTTGGCTGGTTTTCAGGACATGCAAAAACATTTTTTTTTATTAAGTGTATTCTATTCATCGAGTATATAACCAGAAATAGAGACGAAATGTGACTTAATTTGTTTAAAGACAACTGCGCTCCGATTGGCCTGCCCGAATTAGAAACAATTGACGGGTGTCGTCAATTGTTTCACTTCAAGTTGACCACTTTAATTTGAGCTATAATAGACGAAAATTAAAAAATTACATATTTAATTACCGATGAAATGTGATTCCGTTTGTTTTGTAGTTAGATGTTTTGCTGTTTTTCCCACACCACCGAATAGAAACAGCCCCCATTGTTAGAGATGTTATGTGATTTCAGCGCAAACAAGAGTTGATATTTAGAAGTGACATAAGGCCCATTTACCTGATGAGTTGCCAGAGACGGATAGCCCTCTTTTCGTCTTTATTTCTGGTTATATACTCGATGATTTTATTTATTATTAGCGAAACTTCAAAGAAAGCTTGTCTTGAATTTCTAAAAGCTATAATTATTAATACAAAGATCGAACACTACGAAAAATTGCTTCGATCCGGTTGGATTCGAACCAGGGTCTTCAGCGTATCATGTCTGAAGGCGCGGGTTCGTATCCGGCCGGATCGAAGGAATATTTCTTAGTATTCATTCTACGTATTAATAATTATAGCACACCGGTACAATTTCACAAAAATTAAATTGAACATCATGGAAGAAAAGCAACGTGATATTCAATAACTTCACATTTCTAAAAGCTGTTAATGTTGTTTAGAATGAAGGGTATGAAATGACCAGTACCTCTATTATAAGCCTTTGAACAGACAATTGCGTTATAATATTAAAGCGATCGTGTTTACGTACAGCACTCACCGGATCGGAGTTGTTGACAGAGGATACCTCGGCGAGATCGGACGCGTCGTGTATGCGCGAGAGTCGCGACCGCAGCTCTGGGGGGCGAAATACTTCACAGGTCATTATTAAAGAACAATTGTACAATGGTTAATACAAAATTTCAACAGCTTTGATCTGGGGGTCGATTCAGAACCTTACGATAACTGTTGTCGACCGATTCGATTAGATACCGTACGATTTCTTTTCATTTTTATTCACAATAACCGAACCGAACGTCAAACTGTCGTATTCGAAGTCGAACCGAAATGACGTCACACCCGTACGATTACTGGTACTTCTCGACCGGCAAAGGCTACAAACGTTATTCAGAACACAGTTATCGAATGAAAGTTACCGAACGTCCTATTGTTTACAAAGCAAGAATGTAATGTGGAAATCCCTTATAAATAAAGTCTGGATTTTGTTCAATTTTAATAATTTATTTTAATGCAAGACTAATGCATTCCTAGATTTTAGGCTTTTAATAAAAATGGATTTCCATTTTTATTATAATCTATTTCACGGATTAACTCCGTAAACGCTGTTGGATAACGGTATCGTATCTGGGGGTCTACTCTCGACCTCCGTCTGACATCCGTCCTAAACAATTCTGTCAAATAAGTAATATTCGACAAAATTAAAAGACAAGTATCCAGTATGAAGCTTCATTCGCATTTAACTAAGGTAAACAACTCTTTTATGGGGAACTGTACACGTTTTTACAATAAGATTCCGGAGCATATATTAAGTTTATCATTTCCTAAGTTTAAAAACTACATTAAAAATATTTTGATCGAAAAATCATATTACAAAGTTGAAGACTACGTGTTAAAAGATGTATGGAAAGACGACATGGCTCCAGAATCCACACAAATTTGATTCGAAGTGTATTCCATAGCATTTAAGTTTATTTGAAAAGAGCTATCCCTAGAGTTTCTTGCTCGTTCTTCTCAGGGAGGTCAGCGTAGAGAACGAGCAGTAGCTTAACTGTGACGTTTTCAAGTGTAAATTTATTTTACCTATGGAATAAATAATCTTTGACTTTGACTTTGACTTTGATTGTGTATACACACGCTGTGTTTCCCTGATGTGTGGTGAAGACAACACTTCAATATATAATAGACAACAGCGTCTTCTGACTACACAATATGAATAAAATTTATCTATGGTTACCATTATATAAATTTAAAAAATATAAAAAGGGACTAGCCTGCATGGTCTAAGGATCTTTGCCTTTCCGCAAGGAAAATTACATAACATAACATCAATAATTTCAACAACTCTACTGTATTTTTTTCTTTTACTTAATTTGTTTTACTTTTTTGTAATAACAAAAAAGAAAACATACGTAGATTTTAAATTTGAAACTCAGTTTTGAAACATTTTGAAACATTTGAAATTCAGTTTACTCTCGACCTCCTGTAAACTGATTTTACTAAAATAAATAATCTTTGACTTTGACTTTGAGCATCACGCGTCTTTTTATTTGGTCAAGTATTGCTTATTTGGCAGTAATTGTTTCGGACGGAGATCGAGAGTAGACCCCCTGAATGCGAATCGAAACGAAAGCGCCCTTCGATTCGGAACGATATCTTATCGAATGATTCGGTTAAAATCGAAGAGTTGCGAATCGGGCTCCTGATAGGACTGAAACATGCTTCTGCACGCCAAACTAGGGTCACCATGATAGTCAATATTACTTTAATACATTGGCATCTCACATCAGTCTCTGGTAGCTGCAGAAGTACTGGTTCAGTGAGAAGGTTTATAGATCTCGCACAGGTGTCGCTCACCGTGAAAAAGGCCGAAAAACCTAACACTAACAGAAATTTTTAAGGTCTACTGACACGATCTATATCTCAGTCAGGCCCTAGTCTGGTAATATGAAGAATGAAGCGAATATTTAAGCGATAAACATTGACTTACAAATAAATGGACGACGGGTCTAATACAAAAACCACG